GGGGGGTAAAAATAGACACTTGATAATAAGCTGCATTTAGCAAAGAACAAAGAGCTTTCGGTGCAGGCTTAGTTGAAGGTCTACCGCGCTAAGGCGGTGACAAATACATCCGCAGATGAAAATGTGAGGTGTGCTGACAAAATGAGTTACTTCTCGGATTTTAGGCCGGTGGAAATAGATGCGTCAAATTTATAGGTTGAGTTTTTACAATTTATTACATGTAGTACATGTATGGAATGATAAAAGACATGTAAAACTTGAAGAGAATGTGATTGGTTTAGAATTTAGTAAAAGACATGTAAAACTTGAAGAGAATGGGATTGGTTTAGAATTTACAAATATGTCCTTGTGTCAATTTTTAGTTAATATCTCCATTTTTGATTGCGAGAAGTAACTGATTTTGTCAGCACGCCTCACATATGGTCGCTTTTAAGAACAAGGGGCTATCCCGAAAAATGCTGTTTTGAGAAAATCGAAGGTAAAGTTTTTGGACCCTTGTTCAGTTTCTTTAAAAGACAAGGAAAGTTTTCTATATAACCAAAACAAATATTAAATTTACACATCAAAGAAACCAAACTTCTCCTATAGGTAGGGTAATGCCCACTTTATGTGTAGCAGATCAAGATTTTTGGAAACCCCCGAAATCTGGGTTGGCCCTCTTGTCCTTAAAAGAGACATATATATGCCATTTATCATTAATCATTAACTCACTTGAGCCTGAGCTATTTTTCACCCCGACATACATAGCAGCCAGACACTTCTTGGGTATATTGAAGCGTTAACCACAAAAAGACTGTGGACGCTATTATATTAATGAAATGCTTAAAAAGCAAAAAGAGAAAGAAAGAAACGCTTTCATTTAAAAAGAAAACTGCATCTAATTTGTCCAAATAGTTTTTATTTCATCAACATTTGAAAATGGCAATGTCTGTGGGTTGAGCAATTTTTTAAACTTTTTTTTGGGGCGCCTAATTTATAATAAAATCATCTATCGCAAGGCAGGGATGACTGACATAGTCTCAATTACAGCTCAAAAAGTATTGCACATAACTTCACAAAACTTTTAACGAGACGAAACAAGTGAGTCAACTTTTGGCTGTTAGCTAGTAACCGAAAAAACAATGGAGATATTGATCGATAACGCACATCCCCTAAATACACGGGATTAGGCGTAAATAAACGGACATAGATAGGCTCGAGTGAGTTCAGCAGCTGTTTTCTCAGAATTCTACACTTTTATAAAACACCCCCTTCCCCGAAATCCCCCCAAGGGCAGTGATACTGACTGAAGTGTCTTTAGGCCATTCCTTTAAAAAAAAAAAGGGGGGGGGGTTACTAAGTAATAACATGTTCTTATGCACAGTAGAATTGTAAAAGGGCTGATTTATCAAAGCCATGCTCATACTGTGCAACAACAACACAGGGGGAACAGCTGCTTTTTCTTTCCTTCTCCATACTATCGTCAGTTTCCCCCTCTACTTCTTTTGTATGTTTGTCACTTTCTTATGAACTGCTGTAGTTCCGGGGTGCATTGATTGATAGTCGAAGCAGACTTTGTGCTGTTGAGGCTAGAGAGGTGAGCAGAGTAAGCCTGATTCCTCGTTTGGACTTCTCTGTTGACATCCATCCCTTGGCGCTCGTATGACCTTATGCAGGTGCGAATAAGCTCAAGTGCGTTAAGCAGCTGCAGTCATCATAGAATTCTAC